GTCTGGTCGGCCGATCAGTCGCGATTATACTAACGCAATAAAGAAATGTGCTTAAACCGTCATTCTCGAATTATCCCAGTGTGAGCTACTAACTCGTCCTACTAGCATAGCTATCTCCGATAGGGTCGGATACGACAAAGTGGCGCGAAGGAAGTAGACGCGGTATAATGGAACATGTATTATTGACGAGCGATAACGCAAATATTGAGAATGATAATTCAGTTACGAGTTATCTTTTTACGAGAACGGTTCATTTTCTCGGCGGCACAATCCCGACTATCCATACGTGGTGTAGAGCAGCCATAAACCGGCCTTGTGCAACCAAGTGCGATTCACAGCCGCGCGATCTTCTTTCCCCTCTCGTTTTTTTTTCTCTTTGAAGAACGTGCGTAGTCCCTGTCGTATTACTGTCGACGATTAAATTCATCGTGGCTCTAAGTGAGCTGCAGCACGACAGAAGATCTCTGGCGATTCGTGACAGGTGACGTTCACCATAATTACATCTAGAGTCCCTCTAGAGAGAAGTAAGAGTCTGGCCAACGTTCTAGTTTGATAGAAAATGGCGTATGCGGTACGACTGGTACGAGTATGTAAGACTTGGAGCTATTACGAGGAATTAAAAGTTGGAACTGGAATTGTTCGGAATGGATTCCGGTCGAAATTATTCCGTTTTTAGGGACCGTAAGAAATACAATAGAAATCTAGGGAATAATTGAACAATTCCGATTGGAATTCATTTCGAACAATTCCATAACATGTGTCCAGTTTGCCCTTTTAATTCCTCGTGGCTCGAATCGAAGCTTACTTATAATGCTACTATACAACGCGTGCGTCCATCAGTTTTGATAATTGTCACTCATTATGGTCTTCAAAAGTTACAACGATAGAAGTTGTTTGCTCTTCCTTTGAACAATCTGGGTACCATCACATATTCTAACATAAGTCATTTAAGTCCGTAAATAATCTCTGCACGTTAAATTTATACGCGACGAATAATGTGCAGGATGTCGAGAGAATTTCAAGATCACGCGCAAACTCGATTATGCGTTCGATTGGTCGAATATACGAAATGCATATCCTCAACTGTGCACAAATGAGATGTAAATGGCCAAGTATAACGCTAAACACTCGATCTTTGAAAATTTTCGCGCCGTTAAGACGTAAATTGAGATGGATAAGTGCGACGTACGTTATTAGGGCAGCAGGGCGATTATTTCGTAGCCGCAGGGTAAGATTTAATTAGGCTTCGGAAGCTTCGGTCTAATTCCCCGCGTCGATACAGGAGACGATTTCATTCATTAAGAGAGAGAGAGAGAGAGAGAGTTTTTATAATGTCAAATTATACCCGCAATTTGAGTTATATTTTCTATTATTTCTGTAGGTCGTCACTACTCCTATTTGATATGACGTTAATTTAACTAAAACAATGGAGTTAAACAATTTAACTTTTAAGAAAATGTATTAAATTTAACTCAAATTTAGTTTATTATTTACTAGATGGATACGTTAATATAGACGTTTACTTTAATCACAGAAATGAATTCATTTATATTTTGATACATGAAAGTTAAAAATGTTATTTAGCTCAAGGGATTGGGTTACCATTGCTTCTCTGATATCTAACATAGTGCACGACGATATGAAGTTCGCGGCTGTGTAGACGCATATTCAACCGTTCCTGAAATATCGCCTGAAACATCCTCCACCGTGCCGGAACTTGCGGCGAGAATCGGCGAGAAGGAACGGAAAGATTCTCACGCGACGGAATCGTGTGCGGGAGATTCCTCATCTTTCACGCGCATTAGTGTAGCGTTCTTGCTGATTATCTCTCGCTATAACGATCGAAGCAAAGCGAGACGTAACTTTGTAATAAGAGGCTGATAATTTTACTCCGCCCGCGCCGCATCAGCAGGAGGAATTTTTAATTCATCGATCCTCTGTGTACTTCGACAGTGAAATCTTGACGCTAAACTCAATCGTTATACCTACTATAATAGAACTATGATAAAACGCTTGGTTAGAACGAGAACAAGTGAAGAACTTGATGTCCATTTACCATCCGTGCAATGAAAGTGGCTGCGAGAGGTGAGAGATTAATGCGGTCGATGATACCGTCTGATCTGTGTTGCGAAGAAATTCTGATCGGGATAGGCGCGCAACGCGCATTTGTTCCGATTGTCTTGCCATGCACACGGCATTAGATATGCAGCAGGTTATATAGATTCGACGAGATTCGACGTGTCTCGTGAGATTTATTACTTAACGCGGCGAATGGCGACGAGTTCCGAGCGCGTCGTCGTGTCATTTCTTACGTAATGATCACTGAGAGACAGGTGTGGACGGACGCAAAGCGTTCTCGCGGCTTCTTCGCATAACTGCACGTTCTTCGTGATCCCTTTCGGCCTGCGGTATCCTCGAAGAATCTCCAGAATCGCATTCCCATCGAAATATCAGTTTCGCAATTTTGATGACTAAGGCCCAGTTCCACAACTCACGGTTAACTCTTAATCGAGATTCAACTTGTTTTTCATCTCTTTCCAATTCTAGAATTGGGAAGAGACGATGAATAAGTTGAATCTCGATTAAGAGTTAACCGTGAGTTATGGAACTGGGCTTAAATCGACAGGCATTCCAATAAGAAGCAATCGGATGAATCGCGTGCGTAAATCGCGAGCGAACCAGCGTTTTTAAATTATTATATATTATGTAATGGATTGCATTGTCACGCAGAAATGATAATTAAAAGAATACGTTATGTCGAGAGAGAGGGGGAGGGGGTAGGGGAGGGGAGGGGGGGAGGAGGAGGAGGAGGAAGCAGCAAGGAGGAAAAATCATGATATTGAACGAACAAGAATTAAAGAGAAAGATCACACACATACACATACGCACATTCACATAGAAAAAATACAAGCGCGAATACATAGAAAAAAAATTCGAGGCTACGATGACATACGGATACGTTATGCTGCGTTCGGTATTTATGCATAATAAAAACGTTACATATATCTAATCTCATTATAAATTTCATAAACTCAATCTTGGACTGCTCTCTTTTCCATAATTTTGCGTCTACTTTGGTGATATACTTAATACGGTTCGTCTATCATTCTTTCTCGGTCATTTTCAAGAAGGCATCTTTTTCTTTTCAACGATACGGAAAAATGCACAAAGATTATCCTTGTGGTGAATGTCACAGGTCACTAAAATTTTAAATCGAGTTAAACAACTTTCTTTTTATTTTTCCTTAATTTTTTAATAGAGCAGAAAAGGTCATGAAAGACCTTCACGCTCGCAGTAGGAATTAAGTAATAATTTTTGCGTTTTAGGACTCTCTCCTATGATGAATCACGAGTGCTGCCTACGTACATATGGTATATCTGTGGGGCTTTAAATTGCTCGCGCGGGGCATTGATAGTCTTTCCAGGCGGGCTTTGTTATTCCGTACTTGCTCTCAACTTGCTCTTTAGTCGCGCACGACGCGCAGGATTACGCAAGTGCAACGGGACGAGCGAAATCATGCGCGCGCGCGCGTGCGAGAATTTTACATTAGCAATTAAATACCGTTTAATTCTACGTCGCGCCGCGCGAACGCGCGGTCTTCGCTCTCGGCGAGCCTGTCATTATTATCATCATTTACATTGCCTCAAGGATCTCCCCGTATGTCTCACTCATAATTCTTTTTTCGCGCATGTGTATTGTATACATATAATATACGTGTGTTATCGTTTACCAATGCCTATCTCGAACTATTCTCGAGTTATCCTTGCGCGAATGTCGGATTTTATTCTCCAGAGAGAGGGGGGGAGGGAGAGAGAGAGAGAGAGAGAGAGAGTCGGCGCAATATCGACGCTCTCCCGGAACTGTGATTAATCAACATCAAGTTTCATAACGTTATTTGCGATTATCAGCGTCAAGAAGAGAGTTTATCGAGATTTTTATTTTTATAACGTAGTTTCTCATTTTTCTCTTAAATAAGTAAAAGCGTTTTTCTCGAATTTTCTTTGATTAATTTGACGAAATATTTTACGTTCAAAGAAGAGAACGCGTATTTCCTGTTTGAATATCTACTTCCTCATCCATTTGAATTTCAGAATTGATTATCACGTAATTCTGAAGTATTAATGTATTCGACGTAACCGTAACGGAATTTCGATTTGAGTCTGCTGGATATAATATCGACAAGTTAAATAGACTGTTGCAGATCAATTTACCTCTGTGATCTCCTCGTCTCTTATTTTATGTATTTTACATTGGAATTCTGTAATTCGTAACGATAGTCTCGTTAACATAGTTATTCGGTTATGATATCCTGCTTGCGCAGGTATTATACATACATATATTGTAAAAAGACGGTGAAATATAACGATATCGATATTATTGTTATAGAATCTTAATGCTGATTTGCGTGGCGAAAGAAGGAACATACGGAAACACATAATCTCGCGCCACTCGAAAAATTTCTCAGCGGGAAGGCTTTACACAGCGAATTCCAGTCGGATTCTTTTTCCTCGCGGATACCTGCCACTTCTCGCGTGCTGTACGATGTGATGCGATGCAAAGCAGAACTAGAGTTGAAGCGGAATGTCGCGAATACGTAATTTTGCGAATAGATTTTTAATTTTTTTTATCACATACGCGCACACGCGCGCGCGCACACACACACACACACACAAAATTCCAATAAATCAATCTACTCGTATTATGCATGCATTATTAAAAAGAAAAAATATTTAACAAATGTCACATAAATACAAAACGAATTTAATTACTTTATTATTTAAAAGAAATATATATGTATACATACGGATATGTAGATTTAATAAATGCATCATACCAGCATAATATACCTATAAATTTAAGTAACACACAAATGAAATATAAATTTCGAATTTAGTAAATTCCACTGCGGCGGATTTTCTTTCGTGATCATGAGATGGGGGTAAATAAAATTTATATTGATTAAATGAAATAATGTAGGAGTGTTACTTGCACTTTTGCAGGCCTAGCCCAGGAGGTGTCGGCGACAACGGCGTTCAAGGTGTTCGCGGCAAGGGTCTGCCGCACGTGATTTACTGCCGACTCTGGCGTTGGCCGGACCTACAGTCGCACCACGAGCTGAGGGCGATCGAGCACTGCGAGTACGCCTTCACCCAGAAGCGCGACGAGGTCTGCGTGAATCCTTACCATTATCAACGAATACAAACGCCAGGTACGCGAGGGCAGACAGGTGCATAGAAACTTTTATTTGATACTCGTTATAGAATACTCTATAATTAGATAAGGATGTAATGATTATATTAAACATTTGGCGGTTTTTAAAATCCATTTTTAAGGAAACCGTTAACTACATTCGAAAACGGCTGTGAAATTAAACTTGTATTCTATTGTATTTAAACCGTTTAGAGTAACGATAAGTTTTTTACTTTATATAAGTTGGGAAAATAAACTTATTTATATAGCGAAGATAAAATTTATACCAACTTCCTCTTTGTGACGGAGAAAGGGCGATCATTGGTATCCGTTTTGCTCGAATTACGTCTTTTCTCTCTCTCTCTCTCTCTCTCTCTCTCTCTCTCTCTTTCCGTTCTTCTTTCTCGAGAGAGGGCTGTTAATCGGCCGTTACGACCGTAAGCATAACGAGACTAGATCGCGTGACTATATCGTGGCGCACGAAACTTTGCAGTTTTGCCAGCCATTCTCGTGCCACGGCACAACCTAGCTAGCGACGAGAACACCGTCCTCTACAACACCTCCCTCGAGGAGCTCAGCGTCAGCGTGCCGGAGAACACGAGCTTCCACGCGACGTTGAATCACCAGCACAATCAGCAGCAGGGCATACCGCAGTCCCCGCAGCAACAACAGCAGCAACAACCAAATAATCCGTACCAAGGAATGCAGGTCGGTAACTGGAACGGATCATGTTAACAAGTTGGCTTGCCCAAAGTCAATTTGTTTCCCCATGAAAAAACTCATTTCTTATCATTCTTTTATTTTAAATTATTTCTCGCTGTCAATATGTCACAAGTAATAATACATTATAATATAAATAATAATAATAATAATAATAGTTATAAATATAATAGATAATATATTTTTTGTTATTATATTTATATAAAATGTATAGTATCATTGATGATCTCTAATTAATTGTATGACAGCTCATACTTGAACTATAGGTATGTATGTATATCTCGTAATACTGATTTTTACACAGATTATGTAGGTAAATAGTGTACAACATCCTATAGTCCTATCCTATATAATAAAGGAGAGAACGCGCTGTCGGATTTGGAAATGTGATTACCTGCACATATTATTTATGTTTAGAGCATGCAGGCAACGAGTCCGGCAAGCGTCGGGAGCTTGGGAAGCGTGCAGGGCTCGCCTCATCCCGCTCCGGGATCCATGGATCCGCCGGCAGATACGCCGCCGCCGGGCTACATCAGCGAGGATGGCGACAATATGGACCACAACGATAACATGTCCCTGTCACGCTTGTCACCCAGTCCTGTAGACGCGCAGCCGGTTATGTATTGCGAGCCCGCATTTTGGTGAGTACCAGGTTGATTAATGGACATTGCGCGTGGTATATCGCACTCTCCTAAACGACCTAAATGCACATAAACAGCACGATGCGTTATACGTTGTCCGCGAGACGATTTTAATCATGAGAGTTGCTAATTCTAATTCTCGATCGCGACAAAGTTACGGTACGAAGGTACAAAGATCTTTTGAATTTATAGGATCGCTGTTTAATATTGACGTAAAATGAAATCGAATAAGAGATCAGATCGACATTAAAATATAAAAATATTAAAAACCGGAAATTAAATTGACAAATTATTTAGGTAATATATTTATTCTCGCGTTTATCCATAACTTCTCTTCACTCTTGATTTATGTCGTGCCATGTTTGCCACTCACAACTTTTGTTTTACTTGCCAGGTGTTCAATTAGTTATTACGAGCTAAATACGAGAGTGGGCGAGACGTTTCACGCGTCGCAGCCGAGTATAACCGTGGATGGTTTCACTGATCCAAGCAACTCGGAGCGTTTCTGCCTCGGGTTGCTGTCCAATGTAAATCGCAACACGGTAGTCGAGCAGACCAGGCGACACATCGGCAAAGGTGTTAGGTTGTACTACATCGGTGGTGAAGTGTTCGCCGAATGTCTATCTGATTCGAGTATCTTCGTACAAAGTCCAAATTGCAATCAGCGTTATGGCTGGCATCCGGCTACCGTTTGCAAAATACCGCCAGGTAAGCGAAAAAATTTATCTTCTTACGCATTGTAATTTGCTTTTTTCTTGGACAAGGTAATATGCTTTTTTTACTTGTTTAGTTTTAAGACAATTTCGTCTTCAAATCATTTAATTACAAGTATGTCCAAATTCAATTCTTTGCATTAGATTTGTGTAAGCGTATTAGCACACAGACAATTTGAAAATTAATTAACTATTAGTTCGTTTAGGTTTCTATATTTTCTTCCGTTCTTTCTCCGCACATATTTTTTTATCTCGCTTAGATTGAAATTAATAATTTATCGGAAGCCTTCGAGACCTTCCACATGCGTCTTTCAACGAGATCTGTTTTCAGTGAGACCTTTCTATCTTTACTGTCTGATTTATTCAGTAATTATTATCCCAATGAATGATTAACGTTTTTTATTTGTATAAAATAATTACTACATAAATAAATTATTTGTTTATTGTTCATCGTTTTCAGAATCTGTGTGTATATATTTTGTTGGCATGCAGGATGTAATCTGAAGATCTTCAACAACCAAGAATTCGCGGCGTTGCTGTCGCAGTCAGTGTCGCAGGGTTTCGAAGCAGTGTACCAGCTGACGCGTATGTGCACGATCCGAATGAGCTTCGTGAAGGGCTGGGGCGCGGAATATCGCCGGCAGACAGTCACCTCAACTCCCTGCTGGATCGAGCTGCATTTAAACGGACCGTTGCAGTGGCTCGACAGAGTACTCACGCAGATGGGCTCGCCCCGCCTACCCTGTTCCTCGATGTCCTAAATTTTATCAACCTCCATCCGTTCGTTCATGAGAGAAGAACACATGAGAATATCTTTTCTGTGCTATCGTCGTCGATTGATCGATCCATTCATTTCTTCTATTTCGTTTCGTCGCATACGGTATGTGAAAGTTGAATTCAACTTCGTTGTTCAGATTTTCCTCGAACGAACGTTGCTCAGTGATGCGTGCAAGAAGAAGAAGAAGAAGAACATATGATCTTTACACTCGAAAATGCAGTTAGTAGTTGAAAGAATCAAGGCTCAGACACAACGATACCAAGTTTTTTTCGCGCTGATATCGCGTTTTTCTCGAATTGTCGCGCGATCAATCACGAAGCAATCACGATGTGTGAAATACGCAGACGAAAGGATGTGAAATTGAAACGGCATTCGCACAACAGTTGAATATCATAGTAGATATATTAAAGCTTGATGTCCTATTACGGTTTGTTGTGATTGAAGAGAAGAGACACGGTGATGCGCAAGGACGCGAATAAGATACACGGAGCTTCGCCTCGACGCACTTATATCGTGCGCATGTGCACCGCAATTGGCGTACAAGATATATCCAGGGTGATCATAATCCGAGTTTAGTCGATTCGCAAATAAGAAGCAAAAAGAAAATGAGAGAGAGAGAGAGAGAGAGAGAGAGATATTTATATATATTATATATATATATATATGTATATATGTACCGTGCGCTAACAGAGTTCAGTCTTTTACATATTTTTATTGCTTATCCAGGCAGACACAATTATTACATTCGTACTACAGTATACGCCAGATCTTTACCAGATATAATATCTATACATTATACATAATATATTATGTATGTATGTTAACTTTAGCCCATCGTAGTGGAAGAAATCCACTTGAATATTCTATATTCACATGACACGCACATATGCATACAAACACACACACACGCACACACACGTACATATACATACATGTATATATGTCATGTTTTACGATATTTGTTATGGAAGATTACGATAGTAGTATACATATATCGACGGAACTATCTAAAATTGTTTGTGTCATATAAGATTTTCCAATCGCAACACAATATTGTCTATCTAAAATCAATATATATATATATATATACATATATCAAGAATACATTCATATGTATAATATTTTCTAGTAAATTAATAGTACGCGTTGTACGACTTACTCGGACTATGTACATTTAATTGCTTACGAGTTTAGCACAATGAGTATTCACCCTGTTGTTATGTATATTTTCTTTAATAACAAACGTAAATGCCTTTAAAAAGCAAGATTTATGCATGGAGAAATCTTTTAATATATATATATATACATATATATACATATTATTTAATATATTTAATTTGCATGTTGTATTTTTTCTTTTTTCTTTTTTTTTACTCTTAGATCTCTTGGACCAAACGAATAAATTTTGCCTTGTCGAACGGTACAGGTAACAGTACATATATCTAAATTATTATTACGAATACCCAAGTGTGTCTTCTTATCCTCTCTATCGTTTTCAACGAGATATGTACTTGAAATGCCACGAAAACTTATCCTCGCGTTAGCTCTCTTGCAACTCCGAAATCTGCTATCGGTATATTTGCTTTAGACATTAGGGAGTTTTTGCAATAACGTGAATCCAGATACGGTGAACGTTAAAGTCACGCTATCTTTTTCTTAATTAGTTGTTAAGAAGAAGATAATCTGGCCTTAGCGTTTACTGTATCTGGATAAACGCTAAATCTGCAAAAACTCCCTATTATTAGGAATTTACAGTTTTCCTGCCTATACGGTCATCGCGAAAAAATAATTACCAATTGTATGTGAAACGCCTTAATCCTGGATACTCTCCAAGTTTTAAATATATTCTGACACTTTCCACCTGCATTCCGATTGGCAGTTCACATCAGTTTTTCCCTGGCGTAATTCCCCGAATTCGGCGAAAGCAAAGCGCTTTTACCCTTGACAACGCTCGCAAGGATACACTTAATCCTAATTGAGGAAACTCTGTGGAACGCCGCGCGAGTTGTTACATTTCGACGAGTGGATCAGATGACAGAACGCTACGAATACATACAGAGTACGCAGAAAAGAAAGCGTAAAACAGTAAGGAAAAGAGAGATTCGAGAGAAAAGGAATCGACAATCGAACCGGTTAAGCTCGACCCTAGATGACTTTAGGAGCAATATTTCGAAGTTTGTCAATGAAATCCTGGACAACGGGGTCATCACGTTCCAATAAATCGATTGGGAAGCAAAATGCCCGCGAAGAAACACTAGAAGAGAACAAGGAAACTGTCTGAGCGAGTCGATGTCGTTCAAGAATCGCGGGATCTATACCGAGGCCCGGCTCTTGTTTACAGCCATTCATAGCAATTTAATCATTTTGCGTGCAACCCATTATTCACAAGAGCTGGCAGCTGTGAATTCAGCAGAACGACGGCCTCGTGTTGCTGTAAAGCAACGATTCGGTGTTAGAGATCAGTCGGTCATCAGCGACAGGCTGCAGTTGAACGAGCTAAACAATTCGCCATTTTTTAAATCGTACACACGACTGATCTATCCGATATTGATGGAGATAATGAACCGACGCTGGCTCTACGTCAATCAGGATAATTTGCGGGGCGTACAATTTCTGTGGGCGTACAATCGCGATGTGCAACTTGAACGACTATCTACAAGGCCTCTTGCAGTCTATCGTGGCGAAACTCGTGGCGATGGTATCGATGGTATCATAAAGGACACCTTCAGTTTCCCGACTAGCTGCTGCTGCTGCTACAGGGAGTCGATCAGACCCTGACCAATTGAACAAAGTGCGAATGAGGAACGATGAGTCCGACCTCCACGTTATTACGCTCAATTATGCCTAATGATTCCAAAGTAATATCGACGAAAATTTATTTTCGACATTTAGTGTTTGTAGAGTTAAAATTTAACGTAATTATATCTATATCTATATCTATATCTATATATATTTCGATTATGTTAGTTGTTCGATTTGAGGGACCTCCGTTATTACGGCACAGAAATATCCTATGCGCCCTATAGCATCGTAATCTTCGATAAGAAATGTAAAACGCATAAAAATAAATCCTTGAGTCGTCACGGGATGAAAAATGTCGTTTGAACGAGCATTTCAGAGAGAAATGCAATTTCTCAATAGCCTTCCGTTTTTCTTTCGTAGTTTTACTGCTATAATATTTACTAATATGATAATCTTCGAGTAATCACTTGGAGCAATCTCTAAACATTTACTTTTAGTCAAAGATTGAGATAATCGCGTGGGACGTAAATGGGACAGCGCAATGATCCTTAAAAAATTTAAGATCAGTCACTTTAAAGTTTAATTAATTATTGTCGCTTAATAAATTATTAAATTTACAAAATAAGATTTAGCTGATTAGTTGTCTATTAATTCTATCATGGATACGTTCCTATATATGTATAATTTAACCGGAAATGTCAATCGGCTAGTTCGCGTCCTTCGTAATTTGTTACAAATTTTAGTCCGAGACTTGCAAGTGTCATCTTAGACGCAAAGGAACTTTGCTTGAGCAGTTTTCTTGTTTCAGAGTCGATGAAACGTGATGAGGCTTCTGTGTTAGGGTAGCGAAGAGGGCTTATTAACGGCTTTGTCTCACCGCGCCAGCGAGTTTCACCGTTCTTCGAATGACGACGATGCGCGAAATATACCTATATATTCGGCCGATTGAATTTTTGATGGGGGAACTAACTTAACCGTTAGTACCGTTACCTATTAGCGCCAGGCCTGGACGGGGTACCGTGGAAGAAATACCGTGCGTGTAACTCGAATGTAAATAACGAAACTCTGACAAGCGACTAGCATAAAGCATTGCAGATCACGCGAGATCCCTTCGCGAGCGCATTGTACGAGGTAATATTTTCGAAATCGAAAACACGAATAAAGTGTGGCCGATATCTACATTCGTGTTACTCGAAACTGACTCGAAACACTGTCCAGTCTTGTCGTGTTGAATTTATACATGATTACACATACATGATTTGACTTGTAGTGAGATAGATAGATGAGAGTTTTGAAGGAAGAAGTAATAGAAGCATACAGTGTGAATGAGAAAGAGAGAGAGATGAGAAAGCGATTGTAGCCGCTTTGTAGCTTAATTCCTTAGATAAACTGAAGCGCGCCAGGTTCTCACCGTCTCGTTAAGTCGCGTAGTCGCGACAGAAGCGGAAACAGAATGGAGGGTTGAGGAGCACCTCTTTATGTGGCACGATTATTAGAACGGAAAGTTCAGGATTAATTTTCTTATCGTATATACATATTTCTGTCCGTCGCGCGTGATCAACTTGCATCACACCGCTCATAAATATTCGTTTATCCGCCGTATAACTCGATCGCCTAATTTCCTTTGCACATTAAAAATTTTTTATACATTAATATGTATAAATATGTATAAAAATACATAAACACGCATAAATATTCATAATCATAAATAATTATACATGAAATGTCCATACATCTTTCTTTTGTAAAATTACTTTTTAATGTAAAAATAATAATAATATTGAGAAAACATCAAAAATAGTTAATGGGACTATTTTCGCATTGTTTGTTTTAGAAAAAAATCAAGTTTGGAAAAATGTAAAAAAATTTGCTCATACATAACTATATATAATTTTACATGCAACTACATATGAGCAATTCTTTCACATTTTTTCAAACTTGATTTTTTCTAAAACAAACTGCGAAAATTTTCCTTTTAATTATTTTTTATGTTTTCTTATTATTATTATTATTTTTAGTACACTAAAAAGTAATTTTACAAACTAAAGAAGGATGTATAAACATGTATGGACATACATATATCATACATAATTATATATATTTATGAAATTTATATATGTTTATGTATGTTTATACATATTTATATATATATTCATGCATAAACAATTTTTTACCGGGATTCTAGTCAGCTCTACAGGATTTTTGATCGAATGTCGAATCAGTTACGTTTGTCCACGGTTGATCCATGCATTAAAAAGATTTCTTTTCACGCCTGTATCGTCTGTATCGTCAATTTGTCATCTACTTTGAGAAACATGAAAAGAAGATAAACGGATACTTGTGGGCGGTGTATTTTGAAAGTCCGATGACAATTGACAAATGCGGGCAATTGCGCGACTCTGCGTAAACCCTGGAATTCCTGGAAAGCCCGGCGACCGGCGTAGACCGCGTAGGTATCTCCTTATTCTTGATCAATCGTTGGGCGGCTCGCAACAGCTCGCAATCGAGTGAATCGAATCACACCGATCGCTCATCGTGGCTCATCGCGGTATTGAATGTTGTTCTTCTTTCTCGATTCACACCAATTCACGCCATCGTTGAACCGGTTGAACCATGGATTCAACGCGAAAGAATACCGTGGTATCGACGTGGTTGAGGTGGTTCGTCAACTGTCAAATACCGATTTTTGACAGGCACTTATCTCCCTGCACAGACTGCCATTAAACTGATTCTACAATGAGTCAGTAGTCGGTACTTCTCGGTAGTCCTAAGTCTTATCGGTGAATCGGTGGAATTGTTGGCCAACAGTCAACTTGTACGACTAAGGCTGCGTTCGGAAACATCACCCGAGTGCCCCCGCGTGTCGTTTCATCTTTGTTATTCACTCAATGTTAAATAAGGATAAAACGATACACGAGGGCACCCAGGTGATGTTTCCGAATGCAGCGTAAGAGACTACCGATTTTTCTTAAGACTGACCAAATTCGACTTTATTCCTTCCCATTAATCGAGTTAAATGACTCGCTGTACAATTAACAATTAATAGATGCAAAAAATCATAGTCATCTATTCAGGTTAAAACTGGTTAAGACTTAAGATTTCCAACTACCAATTCATTGTAGAATCAGCTTTAGAGTATCATTAAGATAATAATTAACAGATACAAAGGAATGAAGTCTGCTTGTCCCAGCTTTCCCACGACCCGCGACTGTGTTGAAATGTTCGACTTGATATCATTGAGATTAATAATACTATTAATATTCGACGGAATGTCGATTCCCGCGGTTCCCCTCTCTCGCATATATATATATATATATCAATCGATTTTTTTATTATTGCATCGTAATCTTACGATTCGTAGCGTTCCATCGATCACCATCGATGCACACAAGGACGGCGGAATGGGAATTACCTCCTTTCGTCCAAGAATTCCCCGTCGCGCTTCTCAGTTCTCGTATTCTCGTGACCGAAGACTGCAGGCCCGAACAACCGATTAAAAAAAGATGAAACGCATCCTGCATTGTGACATATCATTTATTCTCGCGTAATATTATAATATAATAATAATTATATAGATGGCAGAAGAAAAAGAAAATCGCTGCACCATGCGCCACGTTGCACCACGTGATTATTGTATGGGGGATAACTGTGATAGCTGTATCCAGCTTTGAGAAGGAAGCAACCTTCTATTCGATTGCGTTTGTTAATTAATTGTCTCTTACCGATACGCACGATGATAGACGGGAGACGCGACGCGATGTCTCCAGAAAATAGGCACAGTATCGTCGCGAGGAATTTCGTAAAGCGGTGTAAAATAGTTTTGTTTTGTCTACCAACAGTTTATCGAGGATCTCACTTGCCAGCGTTATTTTTCTCTCTTTTTCTGTTTAAGTACAGCCTTCCTTCTTTGAACTCTCTTTAAACGTTTTTACCGTCTACGAAAGATATTGTGAAAAGAATCGACGGATAATCCTGACGAAATTCCTTTTTTTCATCGCGAAGTAATTTTTCAAATTTCTAATCCTAGTAATCTTTAATTCTAGTCCTTTAAAAAAAGAACAGAACTTTTAAGAAAAAAGCGAAACGTCGAACATGGAAAAAATTATCAAAGATATATATTTAGGTCCTATGAATTTTAAATAAATTATTTTGGATTCTCCCGAATCCCTCTTTTTTTTCTCGTGTATCCGTCGAAGGGATTATTTCAAAAACGTATATGTCACATTGTATACTTGACTATACAAACTTTCGAATCGAGCAACCCGACGATTATAATCTTTAATTCTGTCATAGATCTTATAAGATCTATGAATTTTACACACACGCACGCACACACACACACACACACACACACACACACACACACACACACACACACACACACACATACACGCGCGCACGCACACATACATATGTGTAATGTGTATATATATTTCTTATATGAGTAATTGCGTCCATGCCGTAGACAAGCGAAGACAACTTTGTATGATGAAAATGCAAAATCTTTATATTACTCGTGTGAATAATGAGTAATGAAACTGGATTCTTGGCTCGCAGTTCTTTTCTTCTGCAGCATGAACGTGATTTTTTATAAAAATATGAGAACCGAGAGAGAGAGAGAGAGAGAATGAAAGAATGGACAAGACGTTGTACGACATGGAATATCGAGCCTGAGACTGTATAATAATTATAAATAAATGTACACACGTTAAGACCAAAGGACAGATGTCGCAATACATTTCCTTTTGATAATATTGTTTAATAGTACTCTATTCATTTTTTTATATTCTGATACCATATCTACGATTACTCTTTTATAATATTTTGTTTCCTTTTAATCACTTCCTTCTCTTGCTGTAGGATTTAAATGTAACTCTTACATTTATTAACGAGAAATCTTTAATAAAAATAAGTCCTAGCCAATTGAATCAACGTTTTATTAAAAACAATGATCAATCTTACAATGCTCCGAAATGGTACCAATACATCCTAATATACAGATTTGTATAATAATGACACAGAGAGATATATGTATATATATTTTATAGAGCAATCATAGCACAGTAATGTATTTGTCGTGTAAAATAAAAAATAGTATCGAATAGCAGGAAAGAATTTCACTAAAATCTCATTTTGATTTGTCAAAAATACAGAGGAGAGTTTAAACCGAGTTTCGTGCAACCGTCTTGTGGTGAGATTTGCGAGGAGCAACTGCGGTAATAAAATGCAATAACAAAAATTGAATACAATTACTAAACACTTTGTGCTTCAGGTTCAATGACAGAAATTCAGTGCGTCTTTATAGAGTGACGAAAACGGGATGAGCATTATCACCGATACCTGATTGATAAATCGTACGATGTTAAGTTTACGACTCGATTCTAATAACATTAAAATCTTGTCAACTAAGGGGGTTCGCGAACTTGTTCAGTGAAACTCTTTGGCTCGTACACAGTTTGCCGTCTTTCCGAGGAAAACTTTCGTTCAGAACCAATTTATAAAAAAACGCTCTGTTTTTGAGCATGCTGATTGTAGGTAAGCGATTTCATGATACAAACGGAAAATTCAATTCTAATTTGTATTTGTGTCTATAAATATAGTTTTTGTGAATCAACCATTACTCAATGGCACAATCGATATATAGTAGTAAGTTATAACGTTATTTCTTGATGTGATTTTTCCCTTTAAAGTTAAGATTTTTCCCAGTTTGTTTAATATCAATGAAATGACGTACGATATATCATAAAATCAAATAACATTGCTTCAGTAATTGCGACTGTACACCAAAGAAGGAACTATTTTCGAAAATAATCGATAATAAGCTAAGCTAAATTGTGGTGCAAAGTAACACAAGCAACCTTTGTTTTATGATATATCGGCATTTATGATCACCGGTAGCAAAAGTTTTCTCGGAAAAGAATTCGTGTAAGAATGTGTATTCGCTGCATCATTTCTCGTTTGCTCACACGACTAGAATATCTCTTTCTTCTCATGTGATGAGCTATCTTTTTTTTATCGTCTCTAGAGAAAAAAAGCTACTACACTCGATTCATGAAGCATACACGTCTCGCTCGAATGCGATGCTGTCTTCGACGAAAACTCCATTTCGTTCGTAACCTCTATCTGTACCAAGTACTGAATTCTACATAATTGAAACACGCGGTCTTGTATGCGCGTCTGCGAATCGAGGACATGATCCTTCAAACATACGAATTGTTTGCGCTTTAACAGAGGAACATGCCAAGAAATTTGTTCGGAATTGTAGATTGCCTAATACAATATAGGTACAAATCGCAAACTCTCACTCTAGACGGTATAATAGCTCAACCCAATATATGCCGCATACTGACTTCAGAATAACGTCATCTGCTATGATGAATTGTTGCGCAGACATATTTTCATATATCTGATATAATCGATAGATTTATTTTTTCAAGAGGACCGTTGATTTTGTTTATTGATGAATTACGACTAACAGGACGTCTAACAGAGTCCGCTTCGCAGACGACGCTGATGCGACGACTGCATTTGTTTCAACGAGAACATGCTCATAGATAATCCAAAGGTCGCGAGGAAGATTGCGGACGTCGCCGTGCCACGATCGAAGCTCTTGGCCCTGTAAAAAGCTGGGCTGGCTCCCTGGAAAAAATTATCATGAGGTAAGCTTCATCGAAATAAAACATTTTTTATAATTAATTCTTCTATATTTATGTAGAAAAATATTTATAAGAAAATATAATTCTATATTTATTGTTAGTTAAATATATACGTTTGTCAGTTATAATACAATTACTTATAATATACATATATCTTTGTTATAATTTTAACCCATAACAAGAACACATATTTTTTGTGACGCTAAAGGGACATATGGGACCTATTAAAACTTTTTGTTAGTTTACTTACTTTCTTTAAGAAATTTTTCAAATTCATTTATATTATTTTTAATCCATAGCATGTGTGAAAAATGCAAATGAAATGTTATTAATAGACTTTATTGCTTCTAACTTATTGTTAAACTTAAACACGCATTAATCATTTTTTCATAACACTCTCTTTTTTAAATTATTACGTGTATATTATAATTATATCTAGGCTGTGTTCCAAATTTACTGCCAGCGCTGAAAATGCTACAGTTTACGTTCCTGTACTATAGATTTTCAGTAATGGCAGTCAATTTTGGAACACAGCCTTTGGGTCACGTATGTGACTCGTATGTATACGTCCAGTTACGAGTTAATATCAACAATGTTTCAGGATTTCTCTCTTGATCTCAATTTTTCAAAAAAGAAATTAACTGAGAATATATAAAAGGAAAACTTTTTCCGTTCATCAAATATAGAGGTAGGAATGGGAATTAAGTGAGCGTTAATTAAAGTCAATTACCGTGGGGCTGAACTCTCGAGACTTACGTTAATAGGTTTTTATTATGTGACAATCTTGCGTTTCGCGGGTTTTCTCCGTGTTTAGATCCATTCTTGGAATGCCAACGTTTCGTGAACCTTGCAGTTCACTTCATCAGGGCAAGGAGCAGCTTGATACTGTATCAAGATATACAGTATCAGGCTGCTCCTCGCCCTGATGAAGTGAACTGCAAGGTTCACGAAACGTTGGCATTCCAAGAATGGATCTAAACACGGAGAAAATCCGCGAAACGCAAGATTGTCACATAGGTAACATCCGTGAAAAAAAGCCTCAAGAAGGTTTTTATTATATTTTTACCTGATTCAGTGTCAATCGGAAAGCGTACAGCACAACATGGGTCGAACGCATCTCGTTATTGCAGTTTCTTTGTGTATTCTGAAAGAAAAGAATAATTTATACAAGTATCTTCTTTAAGCAAATTATGTACTGAGTGAATAGTTTGCGATTGATTTTTAATCAATGTTCACGAAATATTATATCTTCGAGTTACGGGTTGCATATCGCCTCATTTCCGAGAATAACGAATGAGAAAACGAAATCATAGAAAACGCATGGTACTTTTTTCTCGTGAAGATGAGACACGTGAAAGAATAACTGCACGCACTTGGCTAGTTCGGCTGTGTGACAACTGCGTCGAATGAAACGCGAATTATGATGGACGAATGAGAAGTACATCGAGGTAACGAGAACTAACTTTATAGAAGACAAAAATCCTAGTCTTATCCCGCTCTTATCATCCGCAATAATGAATTCGGGACGAGATTATTAACACTCGTCTGAATCGTAAAACGAAATACTCTTGCACATGATGATCGCGACGTTGTTAGGTGTAATGGTTCCTATTTAGATATAGCACAGAAAAATAAACACGACGTCGAGATGTTTACATCTGAAACGCCATGATTAATAGTAAAACATAAAAAAGATGTGTATAACTTTAAATCTGTGTGATTTTAATAATCTTTTTAATGCGAATTATAAGGCGACTTATTCCATGAGTCATTAAAGGTTTAATCTTTTTCAAATTAAGTATGTCTCACAAACGAGCGAGATTTAAGTATCTTTTCCTCGATTTCTAAATGATACAGATAAAATAAAACTCAAAGACTGTTTTTTTTAATTTATCAAAATTCTAAAAATACAGAGTTAACGATTAGTTTAATTTAAACATTTAAAAAGTAGACAGCAAATATAGGACTGCAAAGAGTTAAGGATTAACGCCACCAAAGAAGAACAGCTGTTGCACATGAACATTGGCATTTGTAATTTACGTATAAAAATCGATAAATATTTCTCGACAACATATGAAGAATAGTTTGTTAGATAGTGAAATAATAATTCAGAGTCAATCGAATTATGAAAAAAAGAGGGTATTTATTTAAACATAAAAAGAATACTTCCTTGCGTCACAAGATATCAAACTTGACGAGCTACATCGCGAGCTACAAATATTTTTCGAATATGAATCAATCGAACCAGCCCTACTCTTTAACGTTGTGCGTCATTGAGTTATCGCGAATGACGCGAAAACGCGACGAAGACTCGTTTGCAGCGGATATCTCCGATAAATACATTCTGACGCGTTATTGTCAATTGTCAGAAGCTGCCATAATCGGGTGAATCGCTTCTCTTATACCAATCTTACTCAATGTTGCTTGGCGAAAGTGGTCTTATTGTCGTCTTATTAACGTAAGAGCAGAAAACGAATGGGCATGATTCGAAAGATGAATATCATTATCAATAAGTAGCTGTCACAGTTGAACAGAGGATTGAAGATGTTGGCGAAAACACACCGAAATAAACGAGCAAAATTGATTAAGCAAAAAATAATTGACTATCCATCTAGACAGACAACTAAAATTATATAAGTACATACATATAAAAGTTTCATTATATGTATAATAATTAAATTATTACATTATAAATTTTATTAGACAATTGTTGATTATATAATAATTGAATCATATAATAACATTTGTTATATAATCAATAAGTTAAACAAAACTGATGCGTATATTATATATATATATATACACACACACACACACACACACACACACACACACACACACACACACACACACACACACACACACACACACACACACACAGTATATTATATAATACACTATTATAAATAAATCAACGTAAGAAAGCACCTTCAAACGCTGTCAAGACTGGACATTATGATGCCTAATAACAACTATAATTCTTGATGCTGCAAATGCTTCCAAGCATTTTTTAATTGATGAAATTTTCTTCCTTCCAATTTTGGTCAATCAAATGCTTGGAAGCATTTGTAGCGGCACTCACTATTTCTACATAAATTCCAAATGCATTCTTTCAGTTATATAACTGCAAGCCGCTTGCTTACTTACTGTCAAGATTGCAACTTAATATAAAAAATAATAAACTGAAATAATAATCTCACAAATTCTAAATTGATCAATTTGATAATAACGCTATTAGTCACTGTCTTAAAACACTGTAAAAAAGCTTATTGCGAAAAATATTACCTTACTCAGGATTTAAAGCTGGGACCTCCCAACTACCCAGTATACCTAGGTGTCTTTTTTGCAAATCCGACTGCAACAGACACAGTTTATATAACTGAAAGATGTATTTAAAATTTAGATAAAAATATTATTAGGCACCAATGTCTACCTTTGACTACGTTTGGCGCTTTCTTACCTATTTAATTTATTACATATAATAATTATATTATTAATCACAAACAAAATGAATTTCAATTCGAAACCGGCTCGAATTAAATCACTCAACGTTTATTCTGCACGATGGTTAACCTCTTCGTCGATCGATCGTTATGCAATAATTTCCGCCCAAAACAAAATTATTTATGAATTATCTGCGATTACGTAACTGAGCCGACGACTACGTTCGATTTGGAACCTTGCAGCGCTTTTGTCCTTGTTTCACATCTATGAATAATAAAGGCAGAATTATGATTATAAGCCGTTAAAGAGCGTTAGCATCCACATCGAAACGGAATCTCGGTTCTTGTTCTTATTATTCGCGAGATGCATTCACGCATGATTTGCGACGCGGTCCACCGGTCCACGACCCACGCCACGTACGCGACACGCGGCGGTTGCAGGAGACGCTCACGCGAAGGTTAAATACTTACTTATAATCTAACGACGAGCTTACCCTAAATCCAGAACTTCTTCAAATCGCACCGGCACAACGCGCTTCAGGGATTTCAGGATTTGGCACCGGCCGCGTATCTCTCCGTATTTCCGAGATCGACCTTCACGGATTCCTCTTAATATTACGGGAGTCTTAAAAATATTGAAGAATTAAATTCTACGAACATGCTTTAACAGTCCAATTAAATGTTAATCCTCGAATTCTCTCTCTCTCTCACCGTTCGATGTTGGAGCAGTAACGAAGGAAAAATAGCTCTTCTCCTCTGATGATCTCAGATTCATTCAAAAGATCGAATCTCAATCTCGGACACCTCATGTATCAGAAAGCTCACACGACGCGAACCTAACCTCTAAACCGATCTTCCGTAATCCGTTCTTGATTTAGGATGCCGTCACATACAGTCCGCAATCCGCACCGGATGTTCGCGAAAGTATCTAGGGATTGCGTATGTATGGCAGATATTCTAACTACGTGAAAAGAGAGTTCTAGTGCAGTCTAGTGCACGTCAGAAAACAGACCATTTGTTGTACTTGCACTAATAACATATATCAAAGATTCATTATGGCTGCGTTCGGGCAGCACGCTATCAGCACCATTGTGTAATACTATCCTTGTCTCACGTCTAATGGACGATGAAGATAGAATGACACAAATAGCGTTAATAGCGTCTCCCCGAACGCAGCCTATGCACTTCTAATTTCAAAATTGTTGTCAAACAAATTAATCACTATTTATAAATTAAAGATAGGTTATGACACGTTTATTTTTGTTTGACGTCGGAATGCAATTGCGTGCTTACATGCTCCTTGTGTGTCCCATGAAGCCGCAAAATGCGGACGTGTAAATGTGATATTTTTTATTTAAGAAGTTATACTGTTCATTTTTATTTTATTTTATAAGAAAATTACAGAATATATTTTGATATTATAACAAAAGTTTTAATTAAATCGTCAAATTTAGTCAAATAGATAAAATTAGGAAAAGCATTACTGGTAATAACTAGTAATTTTTACGGAAATTTCATGGAATTACGGCTCCATGGGACACAAGGAGGTAAAACACACGTAACGTAAAGCCCAGTATCCACGATGCTAGAAATCCGTCCGAGATCTCGGATGAAGAAAGAATTGACCAATCGCATTGATCATGTGACTAAATTGTTTAAATGTGATTGGTTAATTCTTTCTCTCTCCGAGATCTCGGACCAATTTCTAGCATCGTGGACACAAGGCTTTACGGACGCAATACTAGTAACTTTTGCAGACATTCGGTGCGGATTACGGATTACGGGCTGTATGTGACGGCCCTTAATTGAAGGAAATTCCTAATGCGACGATGGTGAGTTTGTCGTTAACGAAGGAAAAGGAAAAGAGAGGCGTGAACGCGTAATCGCGAACGCGAAATTCACAATCTTGCGGAAGGAAACACGCCGGGATTTATGCGTGACCTAACCTATACATCCGCGGCTTCACTGCATATTGCGCTGGATTGCTGCACTTCGACGTCCTCGACGCTTCTCACGAGATCTACGATGAATACTGTTCTCGCACGAGACTATCACTATCTACCGAAAATTTCATTCAACTCTTTCGTTGTCTATCGTTTTCTCTTTACGAACGTAGAGATAACTTCGTACCGTGCAAAAGCATGTATGCACGCTTGATACATAAGCGTAAGAACGAAAAAAACGATTTCAGATCCTTTTTTCCTCTTTTTTTCTCCTTGTAAAAAAACATTTCCTTAAAAAAAGTGTTTTTGTTTTTGCAAGAAAAGTTATTTTTTTCGGTTCGTTGCGTAACACACGATTACGTGATTCGATGTTATTTATATATTTACAGAAAAATAATTCTCATGGTCAAGTGCGAAAAATTTCATTAATCTTCTGATGCATGGGATCTACACCAGTCGCATCGTTTAAGAAAGACAAAAAAAATAGTTATAATAATTAGAAACAGGCAGATGTTTCGTAAATTTTTTTTTTTAAATCTCAATCGCCTACTATATACAAGAATTAGATGATGTGCAAATGTACCTCATTGTCGCGACCGGCGACGTTCGATGTAACACGCAAGGAAAAAGAAATAAAGCGTTGGAAATTGAAGGATACGCCGGTGAAATTAAATTCCGGATGTCGAAATCAGTCAAAATGCGGAGCGGAACAGACTACTTACCCGTCTGTGTTGAAACCAGCTGATAAAAGAGAGACC